GTGTAGGGTTTAGGGTTTAGGGTGTAGGGTTTAGGGTTTAGGGTGTAAGGTTTAGGGTTTGGGGTGTAGGGTTTAGGGGTGCAGGGTTTTGGGTTTAGGGTTGAGGGTTTAGGGTTTAGGGTTTAGGGCCTTTAGCTAGCTAGAGTAGCATTTTTCTGGAGGGTGGGGAGGGGAGGGGGGAGCTAGGTGCAGTGGCATCTCCTGGTGTCCGGAGCTACAAGGACGGCGATGATTTCCGCATGAGCATGGGCGGACACGCTCGAGTCGATCCAGCCTTTGAAGATAGACGAACCCAAGTCGTCCAGCTAGAAGGAGATGTGGGAGGACAGCCATGCGCTGTTGTCGCTGTAGCAGCACAGGACGTACGAAGCGGGAGCAAGCATCTTTAAGTTTGCGTTCCAATCGAAGCTCTGAAGCGACTCGGCCAGGGTTCGGGGTCGCTTCGTCTTCCCAACGGCGATCCACCGATGGGTTTCCAAGACGATGGAGGAGTCCGCCGGGTTACTGCAGAGGCTTCTGCAAGTGGCCGGCAGGAAGAACCCTAAACCCTAAACCCTAACTGAATGGGATGACTATCATCAACTCCTGGTATGTGGCAGTCGGCCTTGCTCTCCTAGCCAAGGACACGCCAGTTGTCAAGGATCTTTTTTCGAGCAGGTCTCACGGTGGGTTTAGGGTTTAGGGTGACCTTGAACATTCGTAGGCTAGAGTCGGAGCAGGAAGGCGGCTTTAACCATTTCAAGGAACCCTAAGGAACCATAGTCGCCGGGTTCGAGACGAAGCGGAGGCTCACCACGGTTTAGGGTTTAGGGTTGCAGAATAGCCCGCCGCCTGCCACTTTGAGAGGTTGAGATCACATCCCGATGCCCTACTACTTCAAGCCGCAAAACCTAGGAAGTATATAAGAATCTCATATCAAGGAGCTCTCATCATGTAATATAGGGGCTTTAATAATTACCTATATGATTTTGGAGGGTCTCGGATCGAGCGGTGCTTTAGCGCACCTGCATTGCCGAAGGACCCCAGTGGCTGAAAGCCACGGCAGGCAGCCCGGGCTGGCATCGCCGACAGCGCTTTAAGCGTAGTCGGGCCCGCGTGCGCATAAAAGAGGCTCGTAGGAGGGGTGTATTCCCCCGTAAACGTGACCTCAGCCTGCTACAGGCCCACCATACGTGTCCTCAGTACCGCGAGGTAATGGGTAGACAGAAGCCATGGGCCAAGAAGAATCAGGACACTTGGCGAGATTCAGGGCGTGGACCAAGCTGGCAACTGTGGCAGGGGTCATGGTCGTCTACCTCGCCGCGGCAGCAGCAGTGGTCGGATCAAGCTATCCCAGCCACTTACGACCGGACTTGGGTCCCTCAAGCTGCGGGCGCGGAGCCGCCTTCTCAAGGTGCGCCGCGTGTAGCCATGGCTCCCCAGCAGGAGCCGGGAGAACAAGGCGGTCTGCGTCAAGAGCTCCAGAAGTCGCTGACTGCGAGCAAGCGGTGCGATACCAAAATCCGCAAGCTCTTGGAGACAAAGGAGATGAGGCAGATGCAGTTCAAGCACTACCGCGAGCAGATCAAGGCCGCTTTTGCAAAGCAGAAGGCTCAATTCGAGAGAGACATCCAGTCCTTCGACGAGGAGATTGCAGTTCTGAAGCAACAGGGGGAGGCTGCTGCGGCCCACATGCAGGATCTGGCTATCAACGGCCTGCCCAAGAAGGATGCCGAGCTGGGGCCGAATGCGGCCGACGTAGCGTGGGAGGAGCTCATGGGCGCACCCTCAGCGGAGCCCCAGATGATGGACTTCATGAAGCAGGCTTACGCGGCGGCATTGGCTCTTCAGCAGAATGGTGGACTGGCAGGGGCCTCGCGACAGTTGGGTCTGGGCGTCATGCCGCCCCAGCTCATGGAGCGCCTCGTTGGGTGCCCGACAACTGGTGCGATGGGCCCTACAGGAACTGCACACGAGCCAACGAACGCGCCGGGCGGGACAGATCAGGGCTTTCGAGTCTGTACCACCGGGGCTGCCCATCGACCCCCTCACGTATTCGGCAATGGAGGTGGTTCCGGAGAGGATGGGGCCTTACTCCCGGTCGCCGGGTGCTCCTTCCCCTTTGGGGATCCGGGAAGCACCCAGTCGAGCGCATGGCTCCGGTTTCCCTCCTGGGAGCGCGGAAATGGACGCCGCTTCCAATGTGCGGACCAGGGAGGGGGTCAAGACCACTACGATGGCCCCCCCCCCTCGGCCCCGAATCAATGGGCCAGATCTACAAGCGAAGCTGGATGCCCGCAGGGCTGGAGAGTCGACGGGCCTGGCGCTTCGGCCCTTCGGCACAGGTCCCTTGTCTACAGGCCATCTCCTGGACGACGACTCCGAAGACGATTTGGCCAACGCCAACGAGAGGCCCCCCGGTGCCGAGGCGGAAGAGTAAAACTTCGACTGGCCCCGGGCTACAAGGTTGCATGGGCAACTCCGTCGAAAGACGGTGATTACCGACGGCTCCCTGGGGGTTGGAAGCCAGTTGGTGGTCACTGTTCCAGTAGATGGGTTGGTCTCTGTGACTATGTGGCGCCGGAGCCCGGTTTCTCACATGAGCTTCGGAGCTGTACAGGTTGTTTTCCAGTCTTTAGCTGGATTTGGATGTGTAGCTGCGGCCGTTCCAGTTATGGGATTCCGTTTCGGACAAGTTCGCTGGTTGCCGGGAGGCAGTGGGGACACTCCTGTTTTGGTAGGGTCTCCTGCTGTTCTCCCGGTTTTTCCTCCTCGCGAGACGTGGGGCGCCACTGGGCTCGTGGCTGCTCTTCGACTCCCCCGCCTTTTCCTGGGGCCTCGCCTTTGGACTTGCGCAATGGCGCCTCTTGTGTTGGCAGCCTCGCGTCCTCTGCCTTTTGTGTGCCTACTTCACCTGAGCGCCAAAGAAGCATATCGGTGGCTCTGGGATGCTCGCCAGTGATTGAAGTTCTCGGCACGACGGCCTACCAGTTCAGGGGCGTGGACACTGATTTCTGGCTCACGTTCTTGCTTGTTGGTTGTGGCAAGCTTCTGGTTGCTGCTGGTCGCAGTCTTTGTTGCTGCTGTTCTCTGGGGCTGCTGTGCCTTTTGCGCCACGCTATTGGCCGATGCGGCCGACGAGGTGTTCCACTTTATTGCCCTTCTTCCCTCCCCCTTGCGGCTGGAATGGTTGAGCCGCTTGGTCGTGCTGGACTTGGGCCGACCCATTCCCCTTGTCTGGCATGGGAGCGCAGGTGTCCTCGGACGCGCCGGCGCCGTGCTTGTTTCGGTGGCTTGGGGACGCATGTTATCGGTCTCTGCTTATGGCTATGTGGTGGCTCGCTGCCTGTCGTCGTCTTTGCAGCCCCGCGAGGTCTTGGCGAGGTTGTGGCAGTTGCTGAGGCTTTTCGCTCCGCTTGCCCCGATAGGCTTGAGCCTGCCTTCGGTCTCCAGCCGGGTGTTGCTCGCGCCGATGAGGACGCTTTCCTTGAGGACGTCAGCCAGAAGGTTGTTGAGGATGTCAGCCTGGTGAGCTGCGTTGTATTCTCAGTTGGTTGTACCTCAGAGGAATATAAGTTAGAGGTCCCGGTTAGCGCCGGTAGGGATGACCTTCTCCAGGCGCTCGCTCTCCAGCGGGCTCCTTCCGTGTTCGGGGACCGCCTCCTCCTGACTATTCCCAGTTTTGGGCGGTCGTATGTGCCAGTTGTCGTTGTTCCTGAGTGGATTGAGGCCTCGGCCAAGACTGTGTATGTCCTCAATTTCAGCGACTTCGGTGGACCGATCTTTGCAGTCTGCGATTGGGCTCTGTTCCCTGTGGGGTTCCTCGACGACTTTGCTAGGCGCTTTGTGTCTGACCCCTACGAGGTCTACCTAGGTTGTCGCGCCAACCCGGTTCGGAGGGATGACGTCGTGGAGGCGCCAGCGGGTACTGTGTTTTCCTTTCGGCGTCCAGGAGCTGGCCCCCCGCAGGAGCGCGTCTTCCCCCTAGGTGAAGCTGATATAAGCCTTCGCAGGGGTGTTGGGGAGCCGGTAATTTACCAGGACCGTCACACTCATGATTGGCTGATTCTTTGTAGTCATGTCAACAGACTGGTTAGGTTCCAGGACGATGATGCCGCCGCCCTGCAGGAGGCTGCGGCGGAGGCTATCCCCTCCCATAGACGAGAGCTCGTCTTTGCGTCACCTGCCGCCTCGAGCACTTTGAACAACCTGGTGTATGCGGGGGTATGTGTAAAGGGTATCCTTGCCGCTGCACATCGGCCGCCACACGCCATAGCTGATGCTCGACTTGGTGTCTTCATCTTCATCGACCCACGCCCGGTCGGTTTAAGGCCTTCCTTTATCTTCCGGACTGGTGGCTGGCATGAGGTTGAAGATCTTGTGGGGCTACTAGGGTTGCGTGTGCCAGAAGGTTTCGTCATACAGGTTGAAGGCGTGCCTGTTCGTGGCTTGACCTATCTGGCGTCTGAAGGATGTACTGTTGTTGTTGGCTTCTCTCGCGCAGGCAGTTCAGGTGTTGTGGTGAGCACACCGGACGACTTACTGGGCGGCGGCAACACACAGAGCTCGCCACCGGTGCTTGCGACACGCTTGTCAGATGCCGCACAAGACGAGTTTCAGTTCGTTACTGAAGATGACTGGGCAGGGGAGGCTCCCCCCCCCACCTTTGCTGGGGGGGCGGCCAGTAGTGCACACTCCCACATTTGTTCGGGACCGCCCTGACGATCTGCCACCGCCTGTCTTTCTTTCAGGTGGCTTTATTGTGTGTGTTCCCAGGTACAAGCACGAAGTTCATCAACTGTCTCTCCGGGCCCCCTGCACCGCTGATGAGGCTCTACAGGAGGTTTCGGACGCCCGCGACTGCGATGATGATCTGATGTTTGGGGTCTTGCTTCCTGTCGACCCTCAGCCTGACCCTACTTTTGCCACGATTTTGGCAATGCCTGACTGGGCTGCGGCGCAGGTTTGCGTTCTGATTGACGCCAGGGAGGTCGACAATCGCTTCTTTGCTTGGGTTGTCCCCGAATACCTGAACTTCAGCTCGTTGCTTCTTCAGATTGGGGTTCCTGATGAGGCCGGGCTTCGGGTTTTCGTTGCAGGGCGACTCATGCCCAGACAAGGACTATACAGGTTCTGGCATGCTGTCTCAGTGGTCGTGCTGCCCCCTGGAGCGGGCCTCCGGCCCTCATTCACCTTTGAGGAGATGTTGGCTAGCCCGAGGCGATGGGTTCTCCCCTGCCCGACATTTAGTGGACCTGATGAATCTGTTTACTTGACGTTGTCGGACGGTGGCGCTGCCGCCATCAGCACCGCGGGCGCGGCTGTGCGTTCGGCTGAGGATTTCCGCATGCTTGCTGCGACAACTTTTCAGTATGCAGCGGAACGGACGTTTACGTGTCACAGCTATCCTCGCCTTGCTAATATATGCTGGCTTGGACAGGACTGTAATGCCCTTCTGGTTGCTACGGAACAAGTTCCTCGGGTTCCCGTGCCTCCGGGTAGGCTGCGGTTGGCAAGACAGGTTGTCTTCCTTGACCTGCGTCCGATCCTGCGCGACTTTTCTTGGCTGTCCGTACAAGATTTTCGGGTTTCTTTGGACGGGCTGATTGCGACCTTCGCGGCCCCTGCAGGTTTTGCCACAATTGTCAAAGGGGGTACGCCCCGACCTAGCTCGGATAGCACGAGCCTTACTGTTGCGCGGGGGACAGTTCTCACCGTCTCATTCATTCAGGATTTTCTTTCGGCCTCGCCGGTTGCTCAGGATGATGGGACTGATGCTGGCCGGGGCGCCGAAGGCGGCGACTCTTCGGAGGATGAAGTTGACTCCCTGCCTGCTTCCTCGAGTTCATCAGAGCAAGCATCCCCTGGACATCAGGCCGAGCCACGTAGTCGATCTCCCAGGGGACGGGCACACAGGCACGGGGGACTTGATGTCCCCTGGATTTCAGGGGTTGGTCTAGGATGCCTAGCCATGCCTGCCCGTGTCACGGCAACGTCCCCGGTCGTATCCCGCGAGCTTGGTGACGTCATTCCCTCCCTGATGTCCGGGGAGCTTGCGGTTGCCATCTTTGCTGGTTTCGGGGTCTTTGTGGCCTGTGCCATCTGCTTATGTGTTGGCGCTCAATGCGGGTTTCGCCCACGCCAGAGCAAACTCATTACTGAACCCAGCGGACGTACTTCAGCTGAAAGGCGGCACTTGGGTCATCTTCGGGCTCTCTCAGGCGCCCTTGGCGAGCCATGGCTTCCTCGTTTGCCTGTCTTCCTGCAAGAATTTTTGGGACCTCTGTTAGAGGATCCTGCCGATTCCGTCTCCTCTTCTGAGATAGTCACCCGCCGGATCAGTTGTGTGATATTGAAGGCTGACTATGTGGCCGAACAGGCAACAGTTGCCGTGGAGCTGCCGGCCACAGTTGATGAGCTGACTAACGCCTTGCACCATGCGCGTTGTGCTACGATGCGGGAGTTCTTTCCGATCCTGTTGCCCGTCATGCCGCAGCCCTTTGATGGTACTGCCGTTTTTGTCGCTGCAGCGGATTGGTGCTCTGGGTACCAGCGGGCTTGCTTTGACACTACTCGATTCGATAACCGACTCTTTCTGGCATTCGTGCCTGAGTATGCACGGAAAGTTGATCTCGTCGGTCTTTCGGATTTACATGGTGTGTTTGAGCCTGATGTTTGGGTTGGGGTTGACCCCGTTCACCTGCAAGGTGAGGATCAGTTTCATATGTTCCCGGGGGTTCTGGTCTGGTTTATGCCTGTCGGGATGCGCCCGCCTGTGACATCTAGTCTCGGACAGCTCCTGCTGGAGCGCGATAGCTGGAGCTCTGAGTCGGTCGTGCCGGCACCTGACTTCCGAGGGGCTTACTGTCTTGTCTCCAGAGGGCAGGGGAGGCTGCACATTACCGATTTTGAGTCCCCGCTCAACTACCGCGAGAGTATTGCTCGGGTTACGGGGATTCCCCTTTCTCGTCTGAGCCTCTTCCCCTCCCGTCCGCAGCTTTCCGACATCTCTATCTCGGGGGTGCCTTGCATGACTGCTGTCGCTGCTGGTGAGCATAGCGAAGTGATGTGGCGGCATCGATGGCACATTGTTCTCCTGGATTGCAGGTTTTTGGAGGATGGCTGTCGTGCCCTACATGTTTATGACGATGTTGTCGATGTGCTGGGTCTTCTTGAGGAGTTCGACCAGGAGGCACCTCGTGGATGGCATACTGTCGCACTGGGAGCCCCTTCTCCGGACGGAATGCTGGTCACAACTCCTGGTCAGGTGCTGACCCTCGCTTATGCTCCGTCAATGTCTGAGGGTGCCATGGTCCCTGCGCATGCGGGACACCCTTACTCCGGGGCCCGCGGTAGGGGCCTCGGTTCTGGAGACAGCGCTGGCGCCGGGCGCGCTGATCAGCATCCTGCAGATGATGGCCCTATCCCTACTCAACAGACTAGCACGGGTGACGACAATGGCGTTGCGGTTGATGTCACTGTTCTGATTGTTTCGCCTGAATACGATGCTGAGCAGGTTTCTCTTGAGTTGGACCT